GTGAGATTAATTGGTGAGTTTGAGTGATTTGTAATCTTAGTTTGTACTATTCTTCTCTATTAGTGAAAACCACATCCTATTCTTGCCCCGTGGATGTAGGCAATTTGCCGAACCACGTTAAAATTGGTTGTTTGTGTTTGTGGCATTATTTTAGTTTGTTTGGTCTTCTCTTGACGTTTGTTTGATTTGGTTTCTCAAAGCACATCGGTTTGGTTTTGGCTTCTGTCGCACACTACAGGATGTTGGGGTTATATAGATCTCAGAGACTCAAGACCAAGGACTATACTAAATCTTTCGCTTAATTTTCATAAACTATATATTATTAATCAAATAATTACACTACAACATTGAACAAATATACGCGAATATTGAAAGCTAATCATGTTCACAATCAAAAACTGATGGATATTCGTGTAAACTTAAATTCTTAAGTAAATCAATCTTCATTTTGATTTAATCATCATTATACCAAGATCTTAGAATATATGATTTTCACAATGAACAATTTAATTAAGAGGACGTACCTTGATCCATGATTCGAAGTTTGACAAAATTAAGCTGCAAAGAGACAACGTTGAAGACTTCGATTTCTCTCTCTTTACCCTCTTAATCTTTTCCGAAAATTTCTTGATGGCGAGAAATTTTTTCACATCCTTAGGTAGAGAGAGGACCAAGTCTTTAAATAGAGAATTACCCACCTTCCATCAATATGAGTAGTTAATTTATTGACCAATAGGAATTAACTAATGAGTAGTTAATTTAACTAATGATAAAACATAACCACTAAATGAAATGTGGTTAGTTTCATAACTAAAACTTAGTGGGGGGAGAAACTGTGACCACTAAGAACATGGGCCACAAAAATCTAACATTCTCCCACTTGGCATATGTTTCATAATTTAAAAACATGATTATTATAATACAATATAATATGCATAGTATAAGCTAATTCCATCATTATATTGATCAAACCATTAATCATCATTATAATACAATATAATATGCATAGTATAAGCTAATTCCATCATTATATTGATCAAACCATTAATCATCATTAAGTAGAAAACTAATAAGGATCATGAAGCTAATTCCATCATTATATTGATCAAACCATTAATCATCATTAAGTAGAAAACTAATAAGGATCATGACAGTCGTACGTAGTTAAATCGACATAGTCCCTTCCATGTATCACAATATTAGTTTTAAACTAAACATGACCTGTAATAAGACTTACCATAATGGTCCAACAATAATGTCCTTGTCAGAGACATATCTTGTTAATGTTCACATAATCATTTATGTATATACTAACAATAATAAACAAGATGCATTAAAATATCAGAAACAATATTTAGATGAGCTCAAAGTGTCAAATATATATAAAGAGCATGAACTTTACATAAAAGTTAGTAATGATTTTTAATAATGCCCATTCTTTCAACATGTTCACCAAATGTCTTTGGAGGCAATCCTTTTGTTAACGGATCCGCAACCATAAGATTTGTACTAATATGCTCAATTGACACTCTTTGTTTCTGAACTTCTTCTTTAACGACAAAGTATTTTAATTCCATATGCTTAGCACCCTTCGAATACTTGTTGTTTTTAGAAAAGAAGACTGATGCAGCATTATCGCAATAAATTTTCAGCGGTTTGGCAATACTGTCAACAACTCCAAGTCCTGAAATAAAATTCCACAGCCATAATCCATGAACAGTGGCCTCAAAGCATGCCACGAATTCAGCCTCCATAGTCGATGCAGCAATGACAGACTGCTTCACACTTTTCCACGAGATCGCTCCTCCAGCTAGAAGAAATAGATAGCTAAATGTGGATTTTCTAGTATCCAAACATCCAGCAAAATCTGAATCTGTATATTCAATCACCTCAAGGTGATCAGATCTCCTATAAGTGAGCATATGATCCTTTGTTCCTTGCAAGTATCTCAATACCTTCTTTGCAGCTTTCCAATGATCCAATCCTGGATTACTTTGATATCTACCAAGCATTCCGACAGCAAAACTAATGTCAGGTCTTGTACAAACCTGAGCATACATCAAGCTCCCAACGATGGATGCATAAGGAATTTGTTCCATTTGTTTGTGTTCCAATTCATTCTTTGGACATTGCATAAGACTGAATTTATCCCCTTTCTGAATTGGAACTACAGATGCAGAGCATTTATCCATCTTGAACCTCTCTAGAACTTTATTAATATATGACTTTTGAGACAACCCTAACAATCCTTGTGATCTGTCACGGAATATTTCAATTCCTATCACATAGGATGCCTCACCCATATCTTTCATTTCGAAATTCTTAGAGAGAAATTTTTTGGTCTCGTGTAATAAACCAAGATCATTAGCAGCAAGCAAGATATCATCAACATACAGAATCAGAAATAAAAATTTGCTCCCACTGATCTTTAAATATATACATCGATCAACGATGTTTTCTTTAAATCTAAAAGATGTGATGGTATCATTAAACTTAAGATACCATTGTCGGGAAGCTTGTTTGAGTCCGTATATTGACCTCTTAAGCTTACACACCATGTGTTCCTTTCCTTCAACTAAAAAACCCTCGGGTTGGTCCATGTAAACTTTTTCATCTAAATTTCCATTTAGAAAAGCGGTTTTCATATCCATTTGATGTAGCTCTAAATCATAATGAGCCACAATGGCCATAATAATTCTAAATGAATTCTTTTTCGAAACAGGAGCAAATGTTTCTTTATAGTCAATACCATCCTTCTGAGTAAAACCTTTGGCAACAAGTCTAGCCTTGTATCGTTCGATATTGCCACTTGAGTCGTGTTTGGTCTTAAAGACCCATTTACACCCAACTCTTTTACAACCTTTAGGCAATTCTACAAGATCCCAAACTTCATTATGCTCCATTGATTTCAACTCATCTTTCATGGCATCAAACCATTTATCAGAATTATGGCTTTTCATGGCCTGTGAAAATGAAACCGGATCTTCATCAATTCCAAGATCAAATTCTGATTCTTGTAGATAAACCACATAATCGTCAGGAATAGCAGATTTTTTCTGTCTTTGAGACCTTCGTAATGCTACTTCTTTATGGGGTATATCTATCGCAGGTTCATTGGTAACAACATCTTCATGGAGTGTTCAATCATTTATTTGTTATTCTTGAAAGTCATTAAACTATTCAATAACTATAGGAACAACAACTTGAGAAGAAGTTAAAGGCAAAGGAACATTCATTTTAACTTCTTGAATTTTCACTTTACGTGGTTCCATACTCCCACTAATGTCACCATTCTCAATAAACCTGGCATTTCCAGTTTCAACAATTTTAGTGCTATGACTAGGACAATAAAATCTATACCCTTTAGATTTTTCTGGATAACCAATGAAGAAACCACAGGTTGTTCTTGAGTCCAGTTTCTTTTCATGTGGATTATAAATTCGTATTTCCGCAGGACAACCCCAAATATGAAGGTGTCTCAAACTGGGTTTCCTTCCTGTCTACAGTTCAAAAGGAGTCTTTAAAACTGCCTTACTAGGAACCCTATTTAACAAATACATTGCGGTTTTTAAAGCATACATCCACAATGATAAGGGTAAAGAGGAATAACTCAACATACTCCTAACCATGTCCATTAGTGTACGATTACGCCTTTCTGCAACACCATTTTGTTACGGTGTACCTGGCATAGTGTATTGAGCACATATGCCACGCTTTTCAAGAAATTTAGCAAATGGACCAGGACATTGTCCTGTTTCGTTATATTTTCCATAAAATTCACCACCCCTATCAGATCTAATGATTTTCACCTTTTTGTCTAATTGTCTTTCAACCTCATTAATAAATACCTCTAAGGCATCTACTGATTGGGATTTTTCATGCAACAAATAGACATATCCATAACATGAAAAATCATCTATAAAGGTGATAAAATATTTTTCTTTATTAAAGGATGGAACATCAAAAGGTCCACATATATCGGTGTGTATTATTTCAAGGAGCTGTGTGCTTCTTGTGGCGGCTTTCTTAATTGTAATTTGTATGTTTTCCTTTAATACAATCCACACAAATACCAATATCGGTAAAATCCAAATTAGGAAGGATTTTATTTTTTTACCAATCTTTGTATTCTTTCTTTGGAAATATGTCCCAGATGTTTATGCCACAAATAAGCTAAACTTTCATTCACTAAACTTCGTTTAGTTCCAACATTATGATGCAAGGTTAATAGAGATTCAGCAAAAAGATTATCAAGTCTTAATTTGTATAAACCATCAGAGAGAACACCAGAGCCAATAAGATGATTATACTTAAACAAACTGAAACATCCATTTCCAAATTTAAAAGAGTAACCAACGGTATCAAGTTTAGACAAAGAAACTAAGTTGCGAGAAACAGTAGGTACATAAAGAGTTTGAAAAAGATCTAAATGATGTCCAGTGTCTAAAAACAAGCGGTAGGTTCCAATGGCCTCAACTGGAGCTTTGACTCGATTACCCATGAAGATGAAATTTTCATTTGGATTTATGGTTTGGGTCGTAAGGAATCCCTGCATCGTATTTGAAATATGAGTGGTAGAACCAGAATCAATCCACCAAGTATTATAAGGAACTTCTGTTAGGTTTGATTTCGAAACATACAAAAGCAAGAGGTTTACCTTTCTTTTTGAACCATGCCTTACGTTTCAAGCAATCTTTCTGATAGTGTCCAGGCTTTTTGCAGAAATGACACTTATCGTTCTTTCGTTCCTTCTTGTAGACTTGGACAGGTGACACATTATCTTTCAGTGCTCTTTTCTTGCCCTTTCCATTATACTTTCCTGGTTTCTTTCCAGCTCCTTGATGACCCATGAGATTAATTGAGTGAATTCCTTGTTTCTTAAGCCTTGCTTCCTCTTGAATGAGCATACTTTGCAATTCAGTCACATTCCACTTATCTTTTATAGTATTGTAGTTAATTTGGAATGGACCATACTCAGAAGGCAAGGAGTTTATAATAAACTACACAAGGAAACTTTCACTCAATTCCATTCCCATAGATCTCAATCTTGCTGCTGTGTTTGTCATTTCAGTGACATGCTCATGCATGGTACGAGAACCATCGAACTTCATGGTGGTCAACGTACCCATTAATGTCCCTGCAATTGACTTATCAGCAGAGTCAGATTGCGAGAGATCTTCCACAAATTTCATAAATTCCTTTGCTTTATCAGTCTTAGGAATTGTGGACTTAATGTTGTTTGCTATCATCATACACATGGACATTAAGCTAAGTCTATTTGATTTTTCCCAAGCATTATGAAAAAACCTTTCATCATCATTGCTAGAATCAGTAATAGCAACGGGCTTGTCATATAAGAGTGCTGAATCAAGATCCAAAACACCTAGGTGAAATTGAATTTGTTCACTCCATTCATGAAAATTAAGCCCATTGAACTTTATAATAGACGAGGCTTGCGAATGAAGAGAAATAGGTGCTGCAAATATATAGAATACCGACATATTAATACTTTGAGTCATAAGCTTAAACTTAAAACATAACACATATTTAAATAGCAGTCAAATTAAAAATAAACGTACATCGACGTTCTCCTTTGGGTGACCCATCAATGTACAACAATAAACATAATTGATGCTCAATTTTATTTCATATAGTTGGCAATTATATATACACCAACTAGATATGCTTACTATCTTTGGATATTCTAAACATATCTAATCAAATATATTTTAATTGACCACAGTCATGTTTACAGATTATAAAATTTACCAATCAACCTTTGGGCGATCCTTAAATATTTTATAATCAATAAACCTCAAATTACTCATAACAACGTATATACGATTATGTCATTTCATTAGTAGCATCACTTAATCATGAGTAATTGAAAATTATATATTACAATTTGATGAGCATGAAACTTTAAGGTATGGTCACTTTGGTGACCAACAAACCATCCATGAGTTAACTAATGTTTAATGTAACAATAAGCCCGCAAATTAACCATTCATGAAGATTAACAATATACATGTATAATTAGTGCATCGGTATAAACAGTCATCGGCACAACAGTGCACAGAAACATCATGCAGGTAAAATAGATAAATAGACAGCAACAATAGGCGAGCACAAAATCATATTAGGCAGTAAAAAAATGAATTATTAAAAACATCATTAGAAATCAAAGACCCAAATCTCTAGGCCCAAATCCTCAAACCTTACCACTAGGCTATTTACACTAAAGTATTTAGTATACTCAAAATATGTATACATATTAATGGACATCAGTTCCGAATTCAAACAAGTTTCGAATTTTAAACATTCAATTAACAGTGATGGAAAATCATAAGTTCTTTAACCTGGCTCTGATACCACAAGTAAACTTAAATTCTTAAGTAAATCAAACTTCATTTTGATTTAATCATCATTATACCAAGATCTTAGAACATATGATTTTCACAATGAACAATCTAATTAAGAGGACGTACCTTGATCCATGATTCGAAGTTTGACAAAATTAAGCTGTAAAGAGACAACGTTGAAGACTTCGATTTCTCTCTCTTTACCCTTTTAATCTTTTCCGGAAATTTCTTGATGGAGAGAAATTTTTTCACATCCTTAGGTAGAGAGAGGACCAAGTCTTTAAATAGAGAATTACTCACCTTCCATCAATGTGAGTAGTTAATTTATTGACCAATAAGAATTAACTAATGAGTAGTTAATTTAACTAATGATAAAACATGGCCACTAAATGAAATGTGGTTAGTTTCATAACTAAAACTTAGTGGGGGGAGAAACTGTGACCACTAAGAACACGGGCCACAAAAATCTAACAATTCGGACTCAGATTCGCATTCCAAAATTTTGAACGAATACGGGTACAAACCCCCTCAATTCAAGAGTTAACCAAACCTCTTCAATTAAAATTACAAAAAAAGTTCACTATCTACAACGACGACAACTAATCCTACACGGCCTAAAAGGTCCATAAAGTTCACCAGGGGACCCCGAGCCTAATCAAACCAAATAGTTATGGTACCCCAAATCAAATGAATCCAAATCCTGCAATAATAACCCAATACAGCCTCGATTGAGACATCAAAAACCTTGATCCAGTCCCAAATGTCCTCCCTTTTGGGCCCCACTGGAAATCCTATTCTCAATGACACCGGCCAATAGCATTCCACTATAATGGATGCCCTCTTCCTCTCACCCAATCACATTGCAGATAAGGCCTCCTGTGGGCCCCAAAAGTGCACTCCCCTTCCAAAAGCGCAATACTGAGTCCCACGTCTCCCTTTGTAGATATATTTGCAAGACTATGATATTTTTCTCCTCTCAGTATGTGTCTCTAGAATACCCACTTATGTACTAAAATAACCCAACTTGGTGAAGTGTAGCTCACTTTGAACTTTTTAGACGACATGATTTGTCCAAAGAGCCAAACGGTTGCAACTGTAGTTGGTGGCAAGACAGCGCGCCCCTGCGACAGCTGCGTCTGTCGCCGGGCGCGGTGGTACTGTGCGGCCGACGACGCATTTCTGTGCCAGAATTGCGACTCGTCAGTCCACTCTGCCAATCCGCTCGCTCAGCGCCATCACCGTGTCCGTCTGCAGACGATTCCGGTATCCAAGCCCGGTAAATTGGCCCCAACTTGGCACCACGGGTTCAAGCGGAAGGCTCGCACCCCTCGGCCGTCCAAGGCCAAGCTCGGTCGC